TCTTATTATCTGAATGTATATCAGACGACACTTCCCAGAAAATTCCTGGCCGACTCCAGTTGAATGCGCAGAAGAAGCGCCCAATTGCATCATCTTACAAGCGTCTAGACAAAACGAGAGTGGGTCATTAGTTCTACTTACTCTCTTGTTCTATTTACCCTCAATAAATTCTTTTTATTCCCTAGGTTGTTAGCTTGAAAGTTCCACATAATCATGCTATTCAGATTTATGATTATAAAGAAAAGAAGGCTCGTGTGTTGTTGGGCCCAACTCGTGCAATGCTAGGGCCAGATGAACAATTCACTGTTCTTTCACTCAGTGGAGGACGACCGAAAACACCAAACAAGATTAAAACATTATGCCTTCTTCTTGGACCAGATTTCACCACCGACATAATTACAGTCGAAACATCGGATCATGCTAGATTAAGTCTTCAATTGTCCTACAATTGGAATTTTGATTTGTCTTCTGGTATAGATCCAGCATTGAATTCGATTTCTCCAGAATATGCGGCCAAATTATTCAGTGTCCCTGATTTCATTGGAGACATGTGCAAGGCCATTGCTTCGCGTATTCGAGGGACGGTGGCCTCGATTAAATTCGATGATTTTCACAAGGTAGGACATTCTTAGATTTTAAGATTTAATCGCACACACATGCTGCTAGAAATTTGCTAGTTATTCATATATTGAAACTTTCTAGTGCAGGCGAGATTATTTGCCTTGTAGGGAGGTTATGAATTTTACGGGCATTGCCAAATTAAAGCAATTTAATCTTATATATGAAAACCAAGATGCTGTCATCTCCATTTTGGTCGCTCTCCTTTTTTGTCAGGGAGACCTATATGGAATGATCAAGTACACGGCTATAGGCTCGGAATTATCATAAGCACTAAAGCAGAGGACTTCGGTCAGGGCGCATCCAACCAAGTCCCCCTGACAACACGACCAAGCTGAGAAAACGAGGTCTGATCACTTCCATGAAAGTAGTTACTTAATTAGAGTAGCTTCTTGAAGAATTCAGTCTTGAATTCATTATTCTTTTGCATATGGGTAGATTCATCAACTGTTATCCAGTTTTTATTTTTTTGAAATATTTATTCTGAATGCCTACTAACATGTGAATTTAGTCATTAACTTCAATTGGCATTTGTTTCTGCTCGAATTAGTCGACTATTTGCGGCTTTCAGTAGCTTGCTTGTTGTAAAATGCAAAATTTTTTAATAGTGTGATAAAAATTAATAGCGATTTTATTTTCATTGAATTACGTGGAAGGCTCGACTTTGTATTTAACTTCTCTGCAGCATGCTAACTTTCTTTTGAAGTATGCGGCGAAATGAATTTCAATGAATAATAAAGCATTCTCTTCGACTCTTTTTTAATGGGATCCTTATAAAGCCATTTAAATCGGTGCGTATCTTAACTAATGCTTTAAGCTTTGTTTGTTGATTTCATTTGTAAAGCTTTAGTTGATGGTGATAACTCTTTTTGTTACATTGGTTTTTGGCGCTTTAAAGCATTTATATTAATAGAATTGATGGCAAATAAGGTTGGATTATGAGTTATGTTCACCCTATTTCTTTTTAAGGTGATGGAGGACTGGCAATTGAATTTTTCCACAATGCTATGAATAG